CTCTTCCCCTCAAGGCCAGAGGCAGATATCCAAATCATGACGCAGGGTCGCTTATCGCATCATTCGAGGCTGAATTAGCCGATTATTACAAGAAGTTACTTCAATGGCCTTGTTATCAAAGCTCTTATCCTTACCTATATCAGCGCTCTTATTTTGACCCTAGTGTCTGCCAAGAAATGCCGATCACTCCCTTTTCACCCCATTCTGTCCGAGAATGATTGGTCATCCGCCGTAATGGGAGAAAGCAGAAAAGTCTGCTGAGGACTCTGGACTGGTACTATGCGCTGGTCATATGGGCGGGAATCGCGCCCCGTCCACAGGGGGGGGCACATAGGCACGTTCTATCGCTGTGCAATTCTATCTATTTACAGTACTCGTGTACATATTTTATCACCTCAAGAACAAAGCTCAACCAATGGGATTCGCGCAGGGGCGACGCAAAACCACGCGAGTCGCGAGTGATGACGCCAGCCAAAACATCACTTTTGCCCTTGTGTTTTAGCCTTGGTTTTTGTGCAAGAGCGTCAAAACGCAATAGCTGACAGTAATTGAACCACTCTAGAAAGCAACACTCATTAGACCTCAATTTGGCAGAAAAAAGTCGAACTCAGAATGGAAAACACCCGGATTCCTGTTTAGAATGTGTAATAGCCGCAGGCTCATGTTAATGTTTAGGTGCACAGGGTTCTTTCTCGATTTGAAGGATGTCTTGTACCAGTTATCCGGCCTTGAAGGATCTTACATGTCTGGCTTGGGCGGTTGCAATCCGTTCTTTGCCTCTGAAATAACTAGCGGTATCCTAAGAGATTCACTACTTCTGAGTCCAAAGATTTAATGATAGCACAAACAAAATGAGAAGTTGTCGTATACGGCCTTGAATAAAACTGGGCATGATCTGGCTGCGATTTGATCAATCGCACTCCTAATGAGGCTGCTGAGAAAGGTACATTTCCTCGAGTTTCATAGGGATCGCCTTTTTCAGAGACTGAGTTTTGAACTGCACCCCTAATTGCTGCTAGTGCCAGTGCTAGGGCTGTTCTAGGGAGTTGCGGTAGATCGTCCAGCTCACGACCAGATTCTGAAGAAATCGATCCCACCGAAACCTCAGCCAAAATCTTTCATGAACAATCTCGTGGGTTGAGTTCAATAGAAGAATAAAGTAAAATGAGATGGTTTATTGCAGCTCTCCCAGAGAAATTCTAGAAGTACCATCACCTTTCCAGAGTATGAACCTTCCGATGGACAGTCTGAACACCATCATCGCCAGCTTGAGTGGTGTTTGCAACCCGATCATCACAAAGATGTACCAACCCGCCGGTGGAGTTCCTGGTAGAATGCGCGGTGGTGTGCCAGAAGGTGGCACCCACAGTGGTGGTGCTGGTGGACGAACTCTCGGAGCAGTTGAGAATGGTAATCAGTTTTTCCTAGATGATCTGCATTAATATCACGTGTCGAAGATCAGGCTTGGCCTCTGTCGCTATTCTATTGCTTGGTTTTGTAAAATAATTTTCAAGTAATAAATGTCTTAATTTTATACGGTGTTATTTATCCTAATGAGATACAGATGTGTAACTCCTTGCAAGCAGTGTTCGGCTGTCCACCGAACACCTCGCAAACATTTACCGATATGACTGGAATAAGAAACTTTTTTTCGATGTCGGACCTCACTATGTGAGCATATCATACGGTAAGAGTCCTCTCTGGTTCGATTCCTCGTGGCATCGAGCTGACGTGGTTACTGACGGTCCTAATTAGGAATATGACATTCATCGTTCATGTTAACTCCATTTTGCGCGAGCTTTGTCGATTTGTCACCACGAGGAATCGAACCAGGGACCCCCTTTCTGGTATTCAGAGGGCCGTTCAGGAAAAATTAACCATGGTTCTGTGGTTCCCGCATGTGCCCCTATATCATGCAAAAGACCGTTTTCAAAAAGCTTGGCACGCCCTGAAAGACCTTCCTGGTAAGACTTGATAAGGGGCGCTAAAAAGCAAATTTCACGAAATTTACTGTGGGTATCCCAGCGGCAGAAAGGCGTTGGTTTCAACAATAG